ACAACTGGGGAGATGAAGAGCTTACATGCTTATATCAAGTGAAGGTTCATGGATATGTCTCAAAGAAGACATAATCGTTATGAATGTAATCGGCGTTCTTTAAATTTATATTTAAAATAGAATCTTATTTGAAAAATATTGAGACTCTCTGAATATTATTTAATATATATATCTACATTTTACTATTGCAAATAACACATTTAGCATGTTAAGGTGAAAGACATAACCTTTTCATTTATATAATAATCGTATTACGTGTATTATAATACATGTTGTAAATGGTATAAAATAAAAGAACCGAGGTTTACTATTTATTAGGACCGCTAAAGCATTGCATCCATGTGATCATGCGATTTTATGGTCAATATTAGTTTGAACGATAGGCATTATTATTGTAAATATAGTAATATTAACATTCACTATTCAAATCAAAAATTTGAAATGTTGAATGGCATGTCAAATTGGGGTGCGCGATATACTATCATATAAAATTTAATCTCTAAAATTTTATATAGAATACTATTTTACTTATAATTTTTCGCGAAATTTAAATAGATGCACAGTCATACCGGTTTAGTATTTTAGGACCAAATTGGTAAAAACTAATATTATAGTGTTACAAAGTTACGAAGTTATTTTTCTCATTTAAAGCATCTATTTAAATTTCGCGAAAAATAAAAAATTTTGGGTATCATTTTTTATATAATATCACATATTTTACATAGTATATCACGCACCCCAATGTCAAAAGGTGGTTGAATAGTACCATTCGACATGTCGAATTTTTTGAATTGCAAAGCGCGTTACTCGGAAATCACGTAATTTCGTGTAACAGACAAATTTTCCAATTTCACGTGACCATAAAACTCGTCAAATAGATATTGTATAAAAATACAGTAATACGCATACGATCCTTACTTTTGAATGTATATTTTTTTTTAAAAAAATGCCACCACTTTCCACTTTTTCTACCTCTTCTAATTGTTTATTCAGTCATATAAAATCTTGCATCTTATCTTTTAATTCTGCAAAAAAACTTTCGATTTCTCCAAAAAAAATGATGAATCTTGTTAATGGTTGGTTCTCTGTGATAATGTTTCTGAATAAATAAAATAATTTTTTTTTTAAAAAAAATAAAATAAATAAAATAGATATCATGACCGTTACATTAGGAATTAGGTAATTCTATCATTATTTTTCAATAATTTTTATCAACTATATATTATAATAAATCTTATTTATTATTACCAGAGCCGCACACCTTATCGATTTTGCATTCTTAACACTAGAAGAATCTAAAACTCTTTTATCTTCTTTTCAAAAAGTAATTCATATTATGCATTTGCCAAATAATGATGGTTCTTAGTCTTGGCCAATTTTTAAGACTACTCTGAATTTTGTGATGCTGTAATATTAAAGGTCTGATAAGTAGCAAAACAACATTACCGTAAACCACGAAATAACGGCCACGAGTATTGTTTCATACTCGAATTCTTTAAAAATAGCATGCTTAATTTTAAAATAACGCCTTTAGATAACATGTACCTCATAATATTTCGATGGATTTATGATACAATAATTAAGCCTTGAAAACTTGCTTTTATCTTGAAATAACGCATATGGGCGTTCTCGAATTAAACTCAAATAATGCGTAGGTGCTCACGATGTACGTTATTTCGCGGTGTTACGGTATTAGGTTTTAAATTATCTTTAATCATCTTGTTCAATACTGGCCTTAGCAAGAGTTTAATCTTTTAATGCGTTATTATTGCTTCTCAAAATTCAAGGTGCCCAAGGCCAAAAGACCAAGAGTTCATCTCTATTATCAATAATTGAATGTCTCGACTTATAAAAAATTTTTTCCCCACAAATTAACAGTATAAAAGCTTATTTAATCTATGCATTTTGCAATTCTCTGATACTCATACGTTTATTTGTAATCGTGAGTTAGTACTTACGAAACTTGAAAATGATTTAATCAATAAGTTTAAAGGCAGTGTGTTTATTGATGTCTCATGGAATTGTAAAGAAAATGGCTGTAGAGAGCCAAAAATGGTACGTCATATATTTTAGATCTTAACCTATATAATTGTCTTGATAACTATTAAAGAGTATAATTTATAAACTTTGCGCTTAGATTAACACTCCGCCTTCATTTAAGAAATTTTTGGAAACGCATGTTAGACCTTTTTTCTTAGAATGGTCGGAACTTCATTCATCATCGTTAACGACGAAATCGACAGTTCTATTTGTTCCTACGACTCCAACTTGTATAGTAACATTCGCCGGCTGGATACTCGAATATCCCGCGGTTTATGTCCTTGATTCCACTCTTGATAGTGGAAGTGATATTTTCGATGCGCGAACGATGAAAAATTGTCTTGGAAGTCAAAATCTGAAATTATATCGTGCATTCCTGGAAAATTTTGATGCTAACAATAGTAATGGTAGCATGAGTGATGAACCACCTGGGTACTTATCTGTAACTTATTTCGAACGATTTACTTTGTTTATATAACCATATATAATTTATTTATTTAAATAGACACACATTATTAAGCTTTAGCATTCCTTCCAATATCTGGTACAATCTCCAACAGGAAAATGATCAAGATGGACAAAATAATGATACGATAACTGTAATTTTAAAAAATATTTTCGACCCGAGAATTAAAAATCAAACAAATTGGGATTTAGGATTTAGAGTTGAAATTAATGATATTTGTTTGCCTGTTGTTGCTTTGTAATATCTGTACAAAAACTTGGCATATTTTTTTTTTTAAAATGATCTCTTTGTCAGTAACTTTTTAACATCTTATAGTAGTGTTACATCGCCCAAATCATAGTAGTACATGTATAATGTTACATAGCTTAAGACTACTTTGTTCTTGAAATATAGTTTACCTAGTAGGATCTATCTATTTAGAACCTAAAAAAAAGTCAATAAAAAGAAACAAATCATTTTTAGTAAAGTTTTTTTTAATTTTTAAATTAAAATATCTCAACAACTATTTAATAAAATTTGATAATTTTTTTTATTTTAATTTTGTATAGAATTAAAATAAAAAAAATTAATTAAATTTAATTAAATAGTTGTTAAAATATTTAGGTTTAAAATTAAAAAACTTTATTTAGATAAATTTGTCTTTTTTCTATTGACTTCACCTATCTAGAATTTATATATTAGACTATCTTTATTCATTCGTTAGTCAACAACTCTTTCCGATGATTTTCTGGTCAACAAGTTCAAAAAATTTGAACTACAGTCAACATTATAGAAGACATCAAAGGGTGATAATATACTTGGTTCTACACAAGTAGGTATGTTGTTAACAAAGTATAAAGAGTGTAAAACTGAGGTGCAGACTACTTTGGACGGTTTTTATAAAGGTTAAGCTTTTTTGCAAGTGAACTTTTCTATTATATTCGGCATTCAAACCAGAAGGATATTTTGGAAACACAGAACAATTAGGCATATTAAAAAAACTGAAGATAGTCTTTATATAATTGTAAAACTTATAAGAAAGAACCCACAAAGTTTCATTGGCCCACCACTTTTTTTTGAGGAAATTGGTCAAAAAAGTGGGTATCTTAGTTTATCCTTTTCAAAAGATTAACACATAAAATTATCAAAACAGTTGGTATTGTTTATCTCTCAAAGTGGATGTTTATAACATGTTGTTTATTTAGTATAGCTTGAGGCAACTCAAGTTACCAATGAACCAGTAGACTGCAGTCAGATATATTGGAGTAGAATAAGTAAAAGACCTCTATATACGAAAACAGTATATTTGGGACATATGATGGTAATATGTCTTGATTTTCGTAAACCACAAATAATATTTTGAGACTATGGTTTCTTTTTTCTAACTACTCTGTCTAGGTTTTTTAGTTTAGTTTAGGACTTTTTTTTCTTTATATAGGTTTTTCAATATAAATACATATATTATTAGAATAGAGTTAAATACAGAGCTTCTTTATTTTATTAATATGTAATTTTTTAAAGCCTGACACAGGCTCATAATTGTGATCTATCAGATTCTTTTTTTTTTTTTACCCCTTTTGTCTTTGTATTTGTTTTTTAATATTAGTTTTCGTTATTTTATTTTCTTCTTTAATATTAATATTAGTATTAGTGCTTTTTTCTTTTTTCCACTTCCCTATGAGAAGATGCTATCAGTTTGGTGGTATTCTATTGTAGGACAGTGATCTGATAGTGCCTTCTGAAATAGATGTAATTTCTAGTTGAAATTTATCAAGATGTATTCAAAGAGATGTGTTTGTTCAGTGCAGCCGATCGCTTGTAAGTGTTCTTTGAAGTAACTTTTTTTTTCCTTTATTGACAGTCTCGCCGGTATCTTTATTAGATCAAAGCTAATGTACAGTTATATTATATACTATCTAAATTATAGATCTAACATCACTCGGCTTCCTCTATAGCCGTCTAAGTGCGGTCTGCCTCACCGGTTAAGGCTATTGCCCGTACCAAAGGGCTGCACCAAGCTAGCCGGTAAAACCATAACAAGATGGTTTCAATTTAAAGAGATTTTTAACTAAACTAAATTGACAATTTTTCCCTTCTAACCTATTCTCCATTTTATCATGAACTAAAACTAATTTTCTATTAATAAACAATTCTATCTT